TGTGGAGATGTACGTATTTGGTATGAATGGATAGTAAATTATGAAGGCAGCAGAGGGGAGAAACTGTGTTAATCAAGGATGCACTCTCTTTAAAAAAAAATAACAGCACAACACCTTTTTCCCTGGAATAATGAGTACTTTTTATTGGAGTAGGTTTGAAAATCTCACTTGTCATTCTAACTCTTTCATTACACTAGCTCTTTAATTATGTGATTACTGAAGAACTAATTAAAAAATTGTGATCTCATTGGGAAAATATTTCTCTGTTCAGAGGAAGGAGGTTTTTAATTAAACCTTTTGATGAAATAGTTTTGTGAATATAACAATGTCTGAGTACTTTGCTATTGAAATATTTCTTGAAGTAATAAGGTAGAAAATTTGGAAATGAAAACAGAAGAAAATGCATCAGTGAGGATAACCGAGATCTGGAACTGTGAATATTCTTTGAGTTCAGATTAATAACTTCATTGCTAGTTAAGCCACTAAAACCATTAATATTTAAACGTAATTAGGTGCACTGAGAAGGGCACTCAGAGCAGTGCTAGCAAACATTGTGGAAGCTATTGATCCAATTATGGTGACCAAGGGAAGCTGTAGAGAGTAAAAACATGCTGCCATGCTATTAATATATTCTTGATTGTTGATTAGGGGATATATATTTATTCAGGTGCTATATTTTAATTTAAATGAGATCCTAACTAGCTGTTTGCAGAAATGAGAGAGTGGGTTAACCTCTGGGGAGGAACAGGTAATGGAAATGAGTAGGGGATGGGGGAGAAGAGTGGAAACATCAACAAAGGAGCCAGGGAAAGTAAGGAACAGAAATGTTGTGAGCTTCTTACAGGAGCAAATCACTGAACTGTGTCACTAATAGGGCACAAATTTTGGCGAGATGAGAGACAAGCACAATCACTTCAATTGGGCACAGGAGATAGGACTTGGCTGTAAAAGCCCTGGAGGCAGTCAAGGTGTCTGTGTCTCTATTCCCAGGTACTGGCAGGTTTTACTGGAAGAAATTACACCTGAAGCAAATCTTCCTATGGACTTGCCTAATTCAGATAGAGGCTGAGGAATTACAGGGAAAGATGTTCCTTCTGGGTGCTTTTGGGGGATGCTGAAATGGGCTATATGGGCTGAATGAGAGCCTGTGCCGGAAGAAGCAGAAGGATCTCACCAGTGGGAAGATTTCTCATCTTAAGGTGGAAGGAAGAGGAGACCTGCAGCACATTTGTCCTGGTCACTATGCCCTGAGCTTTTGTAAGTGTCCTGTTGTAGAGCGCTGGAGGACACACCCCAGCAAATAAAGGAAGGGCAGAGCTTTCTGTGACAGTTTCTCTTTGTTAAGGGAGTGGGCGTACTGTGTGAGAGAGCATCTGCCATGGTGAATAACACCATCCCTAATAATGGCTGTGGAAAGATTTTTCAGCTGGCCAGTTCCTGCTTCTGTCCTGTCTAGCACATTGTTTGTTTGTTTGTTTTTTTCCTGTCTTTCTCAAACATGAAAACCAGGTCTTGTCTCTCACTCAGTGAGAAACAGACTATAGAAAGCGTAGTTATTTGTACGTGGACAAATACTGCGTTATTAGAAGACTATTCAAGTGACTCTTGGGCCTGGTACTGCCAAAAGGCCACTCACTCCTGTGTATTACAAGGTTCTGAAATTGTGTAGCAATCACTACCAATGTGCAGAATAATCAGCATTACAAAACTGAACCAAGAAGGTAATCTGTCACAACTGTTTATTCTCACTTACTTAATGCAGAAACTCTTTGTCCTGAGTTGCCACGTAACTAGTGATCTAAATTAAGCTTATAATCACATTCTTATCATTACAGGCCTCTCAGCAGCAGCCTTCTCACAGTGGAAAGCTGAGTCTGCTGGAAATGGATTAGCTAAGCTATTTGCTGCCATATATATCATATATACCTTTATGAAGTCCTGTACAGTTGTTCATTTTAAGTAATGGCAGTAATTTTATTGTCCATAATGCTGTTAGGGCTGGCAGAAAAGTAGCATAACAACATTAGCCTTTATTCACTCATGTCAAGAGGAATGTGGTTTTAAAGCAGTACTATGAAAGTGGCTTATTACAGAATGCAATGTTACACATCCATTTGCCTAAGGCAAGAACACAAGTACCGTGTCAGGGAACTGTGCAAATGTTTTTTCTCCGCTTTAATTAGTTGGATACCTTTTTCTGCAACACATGACAAGGAGCAAAGCAGAACAGGGGAATTAGGAGCATCAGTAGGAACACACTTGCTTACAGAAACCTGCTCAAAAGATAAGCCAGCGAGTTTAGGTATGTAGGAAAGGCCTTCCCTTTCTCACACTGATTCCCTGGGTGGCTGGCTCCATCTTAAATGGGTGCAATGCTGAAGTGGCCACTTGTGTGTTGTAGATAGGATCTCGTCTTTCTCCCTAGTGACAATACCTTTATTCAACAATTCCTTTTGCCCACCCTGATACTCTGATAAAGTTAAATCTCTGCATAAAACATTTTGCGTGGGCTCAGTACACTGGCCCAAGGGATCATACTTCCAGAAGTTTGCAATAAAAAGCCCCTTTCTCAACTGTCTCCACAAACAGCAAAAAATCCCTTTGAAATAGGATCTGTGAGCCCCGTGAACTCTGGTTACTCAGCATTGTTGGATGATAACGTACTGCAGCTAGGGAATAGAAGTGCTTCAGGTTTCCAGAATTTGTGCAGTAGTGGGTCGCTCTTATGCCATTCAAGGCAGTTGTTTGGATTTCTATGGGTGTTCGTTTGTTCGTTCTTTTAATAAAAACAACTTACATATTCAGAACAACCCAAAAATCTCTTAAGTAATGAAGGATGATTTATAACAGCATTCTATGTAGCTTATGAAAAAATCAACTGCATGGTCTAGTTTAATAAATGCTATGCTGTATCCTACAGGCTTTCCTTTTCCTAGGGGCTCTTCCCTTTTCTGAGCTTGGCACTGCATGAAGCTGAGGAAGCAGAACAGCACAGGGAAGGGAAGTAATGATGACAACTTTGGAAAGTTTTTAAATTTACTCCCACAAGCTCTCTCATATTTTTGATTGCTGTTGTAAGAGTCCTCCTCCATACAAGGCTTATGCATCAGCAGAAAAATGCATTAAGCATTTATTGCACAATATTAAGTAAACAGGGTTTTTATGCGGGGTGGTAGGGTGATGGTGTTTGTTTTCTTCCCCCTGTAAAAAGAAGAATCAAAGAAGAAAGAAACCCCCCATAAATCACACTCACACATTCACAGGACTCTTAATCCGAAGAAAGATGGTATCTATAATACAGTAGGGATGAAAAAACACAAAATACTATTCTGTAAAAATTGGTAGATTGTGATATTAATTTTATCCGATGTTATTCCTTCTCATAAATGCAACAGAAATCTTCTTTTAAAGCTTTGAGATATACAGCCAATTAGTGCCAACTACAAGACACTACTTTTTTTTCTATTCCCTTGATTATTTTTGTGTGAGTGTGCACCTATCACCATCGTTAGCAGCAGCAGTATATACCAACATTAGTTGCAGCAGTTCTCACAGTGCCTTGAATGAACATCAGTACCACAAGCAGTACAGGTACCACTGTGGGAAACCCTATGTGATACCTCCAAAGAGATGTCTAGTATGCTTTTTGTTAGAATGAGAAGCTGTGACTGCAAACACTGAATAATTGCTCACATAGGCAGGCAGCTGAAAAGCAGCTTGGGACTCTTCAGAACCTTTCATCAGTTCAAGAACCGTGGCTTCTCATATTTTTATCCTTACAGATAGCAGGTGCCCCGCTAGCCTATTTTGCAGGGTCCTGGTTAGACTTCTGGCAGCTTGCCTACACTGCTGTCACCAGGTAAGTTCCCTAAATGCATTTTTAACTTCCGTTCTGGAATGAATGTTATGTTTCTTTTAAAAAAGGAAAAGAAAGTTTTAGTTTCCCAGTCACCTTTATTTCACTAGAAAAGTATAAATTACCATCATAAATACAGATATCACCAGTATAAAAATTAGATTCTCATTTATAAAATAAATATTAAAATAGTCAAAGCAACAGGTACCTCCAAATCCCATCACCAAGATGATTTGTACCTCTACCACAGAAACTATTCATTCACCAACTGTTTAATTAAAAATAACATTCAAAATGCAGTAAATACTGCTACCGACTCAGTGCTTGCATGAAGTGAGTTACTACTGACTCAAAAACTGCAAATTATTTGTTCTAACACTTGTTTGGAACCATCAGACTACCCTGTCTGTATAACTCTAGGTGTAGTGTAATCTGGATATGCTTTCCAGATGGATAGCAGCTACCTACTTCAAGAATGTTCCTTACAAGTCGCCAGTACAATAGTTTTAGTTTGTTTACCTTTGATTGTCTATACCCAAAGATAAATAGACCAAGTTAATTTTATCTAATAAGTGCAGACATAGTAGTAGCATCTTTGTCACATCTGAACTACTAGATCATTTCACCAGTTAATAATGTTAAAAGAAAGTCAGATAAATACAGGTTTTGTTTCATAGAAACAGAAAAATGTTCCTTTTAGTTAGGTAAAGGACATATATTTTTCAAAAGTAGTGTTTTTTTCCCCTCACAAGTACCATAAATCTTCTGGCTCAGTAAAGCCATACTTTCAGAAAGTCTGTACCTGGTCAAGTCAAAGGTCCATCTAGTTCAGAGTCCTGTTTCAGACAGGACAATAGAAGGAGCTTGGGAGAGTGTATGAGTAGGGTTAGGCTATTGTAACAGACCACCAGAATACTCTTCCAGCCTCTGGCCACTAGTGACACAGGGGCTTCCTGATATCTGGATTTTCCTCTGTGATTGTCTAATGGATTTTTGAATCCATATAAAGTTTGGCCTTCAAAATTCCTGTATCAGAGAGCCTAAAAGGCTCCACTCAATTACCCAATTTATGTTTTTTGTTTTCATTTGTTTTTTTTTTTTTTTTTGCTTTGGAACTGTCACTAGTGTCCACAATAGTTTTTCCTTAGATGCTGTTAAGTGGTTCCTTTTCTCTTGCAGCTTTTGTTTTCTTGTGTTTACACAGGATCACTGATAGGACAACAGCAAGAGTGATGACTGCAATCACTATCACTGCTATGATGATAAAGACTTCTGCTCCGTATTCTGTAGGGGAGGAAAAAAAATCCAAGATTCAGTTATCAGAAGCCATAATATCACAGTGCTGCAAACTTTTAGAACCCACTTCACTGAACTTAAAAATGCTTTCTGTATTTTACAGTATCACAGACATGGAGTGACCACCTCAGTGTGAACTGAATTCATTTTAACGTGAATTTGTTGGACTGAGGTAAAGCTTTATTTCACCTGGTTCACACTAGGTTTTAATCTAGTTTAGTTAGTGCACTAAAATACCATACTACCACCACAAGAATAAGTTAAACTGTTCCCCCTACTCCTGAATTATTTCTGTGAAACTAAGCCCAAGGGGACATTCATTCTAGGTTAGATGCTAGAAAAAAACAGAAAAGATTTCTATTCAAGTTGTAATTTACTAGAATTCAACTATTGTGATAAACAAAAATATATACCTAGATAAGAAAGTTAATTTGAGAGAGTTAATTTGCCAATTTTAGAAGAGCTTTTCTACTTGGAGTGCAAATATTCTTATCTGGTGGGGAAGGAAGATACAGTACAGCAATGTGATATTATTTAATAAATATTGATGACTTTATATTGAATAAAGTGTTATCCAGATTGTTTGTCTGGAATTAGACTGGCTGATTCACCAACCACTCACTAACTTATTTACCAGTAAAGAAGTTAATCTGCCAGCCTCTGACCTTGTAATGTAACAGTAAAGAAAGTCTTAGTCTCATCATCTGCTTTTGAGATAGTAACTGAAGTCCAGTTCAGACAACAAGTCAATGGAAATGCCTGTTAACGTAGGTTTCCAGCACTCCTATGTTTTAGAACTAATCCTTCAAGCACTTACTATGGGACCTGTTATTGGAAGGATCTGAGGAAAACAATCAGAAAACAAAAAAAAAGAAGCTGAAGACTAGTGTTGAGATCTGAAACCTCAGTGACCAGCCATCAACTCAGACAATTTAAAACTAATCGAAACAGTTTATCAAAACCCTAAAACCAACCCCAACTAGCTAAAGATGGTGGACTGCGAGTTCTTCCCCTGAGTTTCCATGTTCAGTCTGTGTCCTCTCATTTACACAGCAACTAGCATATTTTATAACTTAGGCATCACAATTTAAAGAGGTATAAAAATATACTCAGAATTGAAGCATCTTTTTGTTAGAATGCTAAAGACTTAATGACAGACAGACTTCACCAGATACCTACCATCTAAGATATTTCTTCCTATGCTGGTACAAAGCACCGTGCTTTCTTGACCATTACGGTTTTCTCTGCGGGAGGGAATGACTCCCTGTATGTAGAAGCAATAGTTCTTTGTGCTGTCAATGCTTATTTCAAATTTATGGCTTTCTGTTGTTGCATCTTTCTGTAAAGAAAAAAAAAAAATTTCAAGAAAGTGTTCTCTGCAAAAGTGTTGGTTCTTAAGGTAGCAGAGAAATTGTGTAGCTATAATACAGCTACAGAATACGTAGAAAGTAGTTAGACCTTACCTTTCCAGAACTTTGATCTTTCCAGTAATAGAGTTTGTATTCCAGGTCATGTTGGAAAATATCTCGAATACTTTGAAAGCTTCCATTAGGAAATGTATATGGTGTAAGTGGATCCTGGAACACAACATTCAGTTTGGAACCTTTCTGCGTGTGATTCTGTATCTCCGGTTTTCCGAGAACAGCTAAACAAGCATTTTTAGAATTAAAAAACTAGCATCATCTTTTCTACAGAACATGTTCTTTTTTTCTTCCTCCCTCTACTCTCTTTCCTCCTCAAATCTATTATAAGTTTACAGAGCCAAAGTAATACAGTGAAATCCTGGATTATTAACAAATATCTTCATCTAATACACAATGTTAATAAAATGGCCTACTCTATGCAGCAAGAAACAAATGGTAACTAAAATGTTACACACTCCCCTACAACAGGGAAAGCTTTATCCCTGAATGTCATCTTCTCAGATATCAGTATGGCTACTGTAAGAATCTATAGGAAAAACCTTTAGGCCCAGTTAAACCCTGTTCAAGTCAACGGAAGTAATCTTGAAAGGAAGTTTATGATAAGATTTAATTGGAAATCCAACTTACTCTGACTATAAGGTGTAAATTTTTCAGAGACTGCAAAAGGTGGTTCTTCAAAGTTATCCATCCCCAAGGATGTTACAGACAGTATGTGTGCTGTGTAGGTCTCTTTTACATTCCTGAGCACATCAGTAACATCACACTCTGTTTCTGTTGTCAAAATACATTTTTTTTTGGTGTCAGATGTCTGCCTGAAAAGAGCAAGAAAGAAGCGTCAACACTTTCCGAACAGACTTTTACATATTTAGATATGTTAAAAAACATTTTTTCCACTCAAACTCTATAGATTTCCCTCATCCAGTGGAACAGTCTTGCAGGTGTACTAGGCTGAAAAGAAGAAAAAACCTCAAAACCCACTATCCTGTACAGCTACATTTCACGATTCAAAGTAGAATCAAGTAAATCAAATATGAGCCATAATAATTACAGAAATATGTTATTGGATACATATATAAATTAAAAAAATCAATCTTTTATATGAATTGAATAGAAACCATAAGTAGTTCTGATTTTGGATTTTTCTGCAGTTGACTTCTTATATTTTTTTTTAAATATAAGATGCATAAATCACTTTGAAAGTGTTATCCTTGATGCATCTGAACACTATCGCCTTAAGAAACCTCAGTTGTCCTAGGAAGCTCTGTTGACACCAATATTAACTGTTTAATGTGACAACGATGTCTCCTTATGTATGTCACCTGTGTTTGCATCTATGCAGGTGCAATGTCACCAAGAACCAGACAGTAGCAGCAATTTTCATTGCAGAATTACAATTTTAAAATATTGACAAAAACATGACCTATGCAATTCTCTTGATTTTTAAATTATAGAAAGCAGGTCCATTTACTTGAGAAATAATAATGAAACCAGGAAAAAGGTGTTAGTTCCCTATTTTACTTCCTAATAAGAAGGAATGAAAAAACAGATTAGATATTACTGCTTCAATTCTTTTCCCTGCTTTTGCTGGTGAACTAAGGAAAAGAAAAACTGTATGATCTCAGCTGAAAGAGCAAGAGTGCCAACTGTTTAGAAATTAACAAATGAGTTTTCCTCCAAGTCAGTCAAGTTTTGAGTCGCCTGAAATCCCTTCTCGCTTCACCAGATTTCTTATGATGTCACAGACCAGTTATAGTGTTCTGGAGATGCCTTGAAAAGAGAGATTTGATCTTTGTGATCAAACAAATGTACTCTCTAAATTTACATAGATGAGAAAGCAAACATTTAAGCATACTTCATCCATAAGAGCAACTCATCTAAAGAAGTGCCTCTGTATCAGAACTATACCTGATTCTATACCGAATCTTGGGCAAACAGACTTAAATTTTTTACAAGCACAAATGGCTGGAAAGAAACTCCAGATTCATAAATTCCATAAAATTCATTCTGCTAAGTGTGTGCTTTTAAGTTTATTAATTTAATCACTCCCTTAAAAAAAATAAAAGAGCACATCAGGCCATTGCACCGGTATTTCATCATTAGTCATGAGAGAGCTCTCATTTCTATGCCACTTTTACAGACAGAGGAGACTACAGTACCATATTTTCATTAATATGTAGGAGAGTTGATGATGCAGTTTCCCTTTGGGGCATGGTTAATAATGGTCTATGAATTAATATGGGAGCTAAGAACAGCACAGATTTATTACTGAACTTCATGGAAGTTTTTGTGTAGTATTGAAAGAGGTGTTAGACACTTCACATAAGCTGGTTACTTTTTATGTCCACTGTATTTCATAGCTTACATAAAACATGATGACAGAGGAAGTCTCAACAGAGGTAGACGAACAAAGGTAATTTTTAGTATTACCCAGCAAGACACATCATTTACTGTGATTCACCAATTAGAATAAAATGCAGACTCATATTTATCAGACACCTCCCAAGACTAAAGACTCAGTCCAGACACCTGGAAAGACATAAAAAGCTCAAGTTCTATCTAATACATGGTATGTCAGATTGAGTGTCAACTTCCTCAAAGTATCCTGGCCTAGATCTCCAGTACAGCTGGCCTGCACCAAACCCCAGAACTGAAATACTGATCCAAAGCTCAACTGTCCACTTCCGAAGTGGGCAAAACCGGAAGCCTGAATCAGATATTCTTACAGTTGGATACAAAGAAGTATTAACAGCTGGGTTAGCAGTTTTCCTAAATCCTCATGTTTGGGCTCTTTTCCTGTTATATTCAGTCTCAGAAATATTCAAACACACTCTACTTGCATCTTCTTCAATTGCCATTAACGGACACACCTTGGTGATATCTACTTACCCATGTATTTCTACTGTATAGAAGTAACCTGATGGTTTTGGTTGCCACTGTAGTATAGTTTTAAAATTGATAGAAGACCAAGTTATATTGACTGCTGTTGGTAGTTCTGGATTGCCTTTAAATACAGAAAAGAGAAGGGTGCCATCAGTCATCTCATGCATAATTCCTGGTTCCCTGCAGTCACTGTTTAGTTAAATGAAGCTGTTGCTGTTAATTGCTACTTGGAAATGTTCTTTTGGGGGAAATTTTATGTAATTCCTGGTTCCCTGCGGTCACTGTTTAGTTAAATGAAGCTGTTGCTGTTAACTGCTACTTGGAAATGTTCTCTTGGGGGAAAAGGCTCAGTCCTGCCCTCTGGGCTTATGCTCATCTTACTAAAGGAATGTGTCCTGGCAGAAGCGAGAAATATGAGAAGAAAATTATTTTCCCTCTTGTAACACCTAGGTCTCTGAGATAACTTATTCTGAGTTCCGTCTAATGCTTCCTTTTTGATCCAAGACCTCTGAAGAAGCTACAAAAGCTTGAAGATACTCATGATGGTGTCCAAGCACCGAACAAGGGTGGCGTGGTTCTGGATCACCCTTAGCTGTATCTGCTGCAGAAGGCGTTAGCTCCTAGTTTCCCCTTTTGTTTATTTGGGGAGGACAAAGTTTTCAACGGTCCGCGGCTGACCTACGCGCTTCTATCTGAGAGGGGCTACCCCCGGATGGACCCGAGGCCCGGGCTCAAGCGGAAGGCAGGCCCCGGCCACCCGGCAGCCCGCCGCCCGGCTGACGCCGCCGCTGCTTCGGGGAACTGCCCGGGAGGAAGCCAGAGCAGAAAACCCCGCGCAACCCCCGCACCCTCTGGAAATCAGCGTTCCACGGAGCGGTAGCCTGATTACCGCCGAAAGACCACCTCCCCCGCCCCTCCGACGAGCTCGGAACCGGCGCCGAGGGAAAGACGCCGTGCGGCCCACTCCTTGCCGCTGTAGGTCGGCGGCCGCGCGCAGCTGCCGACCCCCGAGACGCCCCCCTGCTCCCCGGCACCGACCCGGCTACGGGCGTTGCTAAGGTTCCCCCGTCAGGGGAAACCGGCCCTCGGCGGCCCGAGCGCTCCGCCGCCCCGGTGCTGAAGCAGGGCCGGGCCGGAGCCGGGGCCCGCCGCAGCCCGCCGGCGA